CTTTTCAACAAATGAAGAACTACTGGATTTGTCCCGGCTCTCCCCGTTTTGCTGGGCCTCACCCCGCTAGAAGAAAGCTCCCTCCCTCCTCCCTCCCCATGTTTCCAGCACCCTCCCGAAGGTCCTTTGCCCATTCCATCCCTTTCCTCTTGGTTGCCCCACCAGGCTGCTGGCAACCCGAGGTGGGGGGGGGGAGGGTTGTGCACGGGAGCCCCTGCACAGCTGCGTGTGTCCCGGATAGATGGCTCTTCCCTCCCTGCCAGGATACATCCAGGGAAGAGCCATTTCGGGATGCTGGAAGCCCTGCCAGGGCAGCAAGGCTGCAACCATCACCTTGGCTTCAGGCCTGCCTGTGGAGAAAAATCCTCGGCAGCACGTGACGCCTTTCTTGAGATCAGCTGGTTTTAGCTACAGAAAACTGCTGGTCCTTTGTGTTGAGCCTGGGCTGGGCTTTTTCTCGTCCCAGCTTTGCTCTGCCTTGGGGCACAGATGGCTTCGCTACCACGAAGGACGGTGCTGCTCGCTGGTTGCTGCACATAAACACAGAGCAAACGCTGGATCCCGACCCCGCGGCATTGGCATCTAGAGCCACGTTCTCCTCTTCTTCCTCCTTTTTCTCCTCCTTCTCCTCCTCCTCTTCCATGTGGAGGGCCACAGCACGTGGTGCAGAGCGAGCCAGCAGCAGCAGCCAGCCCCAGGGCAGGGACCGCCGTCCCGCACGCCCCGGCACCGTCCCCGCTGCCCGGGCGATGGGCCGGTGACAAACGGCCCCCCGGTGCATTGCCATTATTGCTCTCATTACGGAGCCCGCGGGACTCATTGCATACCATGACAGCCTAAATGGATCTTCCAGGCTCCTCTCCGTGCAAGCATGGAAACCAGGTGCAGCCGCGTCGGTGGATGCTGCAGAAGCCTCGGCTGTGGGAAAAGCCCATCACCTCAACCAGGAGAACCTGTTAGTTATTTTGGATATACTACAGGGAAAACAAGGGTAAACTTCCCAATCCTCATTGCAGCAGCTGGCCCAGCCAAGGTTTATTAAAAGGGATTGCTGTTATATAGACTCTTACAGGCTGGAGTTTTTCAGATGCTCCCCTTGGAGTGGATGTGGAAATGCCGGAGGAGGAGGCTGGGCAGGCTGGGAAGGGTGGCTGTGTCTGGGAAAGGGCTGCAGAGAGAGGGGACAACAGGGTGTGATAACGGAGAGGGAACTCAGAGCAGCCCTGAGAACTGGGGCTCCACTGCCCTGCTTAACCTTGGCCCAGTCGAGACCCAGGGCAACACAACCGGGGCCAGGATGAGCAGGGGGCTGGAGGCACTGGTGCTCCAGCTCCATCCCTGCTGCCTCCCGGGACCGGCTGATCCCATGAGTGTGTGGCAGCAGCCACTGCTCAGGGCCTTGCGGGCAGAGGGAAGGTCCAGGGGAGGTGACGTCTCAGCAGTGCTGGAAATAGCAGGGCGAGGAGCAGCAGGGAGGGTGGGTGCAGTTGCAAGAGCACCCTGCGAAGCACCAGTGCCACCAGCACAGCACTGGTGCATGGAGCTGCTGCTGCTGCTTCCCCTGATCGCACCCCCCGGCGCGCCGGGACAAACCGGGCGATCCTCGGGAGGCGCCTACATAAACGGAGAGATCAGAATACACCAAAAACATCTGAAAAGCATCAAGTCTCTCTCTGCGGTCTGCTTTCCATTCGGGGAGGTTGCTGCCAGGTTACATGGACCGGCTGGTATGCGAGTCTGTGGCCATGAGGCCAGAGGTGGCCCGGGAAGCCTTCGCTCTGATCTCCCCATCTGCAACAGCCCGACCCTCCCCTGCAGCACAGGGATGCTGTGAGGTGGGAGGCGTGAGAGGTGATGCTGCAGCCCCAGCGCAGGGAGCTGCGCCCCGAGCAGCCGCCAGCCCCTCCGGCAGCCTCGGCCAGCGTCCCGGGCACCCCAGGGCTGCACCGTCCGTGCTTGCCTGGGCTGCTCCTGCTCCACACTCCCTGTGCCAGCGCTCAGCCTGATTCCCGCCACAGCCCGGCCCGATGCCCCTTCTCCAGCTGAATCTCATCTCAAACTGAAGCTGGAAGTGCTGCGGATCTGTTATTCCCTGATCGCCCACCACTGTGGTGGTGTGAGCTTCCCATTGTTTAACCCGGTGACACAGGTGCTTCCCATAGGGGCTCCCCCTTCTGCAGAGCAGAGCAAGGAGATGAGGGGTCCCCCCTTGGCCGTGCTGCCTGGTGGGTCGGCTCCTGCACTGGGGCCGTGGTGAACCCCAGCATCCAGCCGTTGCAAACACTCCGGCTTTGCCGACCTGGCAGCCACTTCAGACCCGAGTGGGATCTGGCCAAGGGCGAGTTAATAAACTTGACAGAAAGCTCCTTTAAGTTAAATAATTAAAATAACTTATCCAGTCCTGATGGACGTCCAAAAACATCAGCAGCTTTGCAGCTTTAATGAACTTTCCAGATCTGGAGGCTCCTGGGTGAGATCCTGCCGATCCCCCTCGCTACCAGACGGTCCTTGGAAGCAGAGCTGTGCACACTTGCATGCCCTTGGCTCCCGTGTCCCCACAGGCACCCGCAGCTCCACGTCCTCTCCCTGCCATAGCCGGGGATGAGGATATTCCCAAGCAAAACCCTTCCCAGCCTGGGTGCTTTTGCAGGACCTTGCATCAGGGTGCGAGCAAGAGAGGAGCATGGCAGCTCCCCAAGCCCCACGCAACGGGGATGGACGATGCAGCTCCATCGTAGCCATGCCCCATGGGACCCTCCCCACCCTGCAGCAGCCTCGGGACACGCATGGGTAAGGACTCAGGGGGAGATCCCGTGGGTCCCAGAGGGTCTGCCCCACCAGGCCCTGCTGTGGGTGTCCCTGAGCCTGTGCAGGGTCCCCAGCTGAGCCCACCCGGAGCAGCCCTGGAGCTGGGGGGAACCTGCCGCATTCCCGCTCCCCGTCCGGGTGCTGGGTTACAGGAACCTGTTAAAGTGCTTTTCTCCTTCTCTGGCAGGTCCGAGCAAGTTTGGCGCTTACAGTTTTACCCTTTGGGCATCAGGGACCAGTGAAGCTGTTTAAAATTAAAAGCATTATTTAATTCACACTGGGATCAAAGCATGGAGAGAAGAAGGATTTTCAAGCCAGAAAACCACATATAAGCACGTCTGTCACACCCAAAGGCCCACTCCCCCCACCCTGACCCCGATCCCAAGCAGCCCCTGCTCGCTCCTACAGACGTCTTGGGATGGTCCCTGTGGCTTGGGCTGTGCCCCAAGCACCTCTGAACCAGCCTCCTGCGTTTGATCTCCTCGGCCCACCTTGTCTCTCACCCCTCTCACACATTGGCCAAGCAGAAGTTCATCCTCCACCTTCTCTTGGTGCCTCAGCCTCATTTTTTCCTCCGAGACCCCGTAAACCCAACCCATCCCTTCACGCACCCCTGCGGTAACCACGCAATCCAGCATCCCCAGCCCCTAATGGGACAACCTGGATTGATGCAGACAGGGTTTACACCAGGCAGGCAGAGCTTCGACCCCTCTGTCCTCTCCTAGACAAATCGCTGGGTAAGCTAGAGGGAAGCCGGCCTTGCTCCCCTCCTCTGGGCACCCTGGTGCACCCCAGTTTTCCCTTTGGCTGTCTGTGGAGGAGGCTCATTCCTACCAGCAGGTCACTAAGAGCCTTCCCCATACTCCGAGATGGAGACTGGCGAGGCCGTGGTGCCCCAGGCTCCACTCTGCCCTGCCGGTCCCCTGGGATCTGCAGGGAGGGGGCACCCAGAGGCTGCAGTCCCTGCCTGGGACCTTGGTGGCCAGCACTCCCACTCCTGCAATGTCCTGAGCCCAGCCTGGCTGGGAGGCGACCCCTTCCCCACCATCCTGCTCCATCCCCAGCCCACATCCAACGTCCTGCATCCCACACCCCTCATCCCAGTCACCCCAGCAATAAGGACAACTTCCAGCACTGCCCTTCCCCAGGACCTTTCTTCTCCAGCCACCCCAGACTCCCCAAGTTGCCTCCATGCTACCCGTTATCCCGTGCTGCCAGACTGATGCCCCCAGGAGAGACAATCTTTGGAGCAGGCATCAGCCATAGCCAAGGGGCAGGCGGAGAGGGCAGAGCAGCCGTCCTGTCCCTGCAGCAAAGAGGTGTCCAAAGTCCACCAAAATCATAAATACAGGCTCCAGCCCGAGCAACGCATCTGAACAAACTCAGAGAGCATTTCCTATCTACACGCCACTTCTCATTCATAATGCATGGTGCTGCGTGGTACTTTATAGCAATGCAAAGTGCCATATGAAATCTGGTTATAAAGAGCAAAAGCAATGACTGCGGTGGAGCCCATTTTGAAGCCAGCTAAAGCACCATCTGTTAAGAATTTATTACCATCCCATTTCCTAAAATGACTTTTTAATAACTTATCAAATTAAGGTACATTGAGGAATGACTAAATAAGTACCAGTCACTAGATGGGATGAACATTGCTGTCCTGCACCATCCACAAACAGCTCCCACGAGGCTCTGCCTGCTCCCGAGTCCAGGAGCTGCTTCTGGAGCTCCCGGGGGCCACGGGGCGCACCGTGAGCCTGGGGGCCACACTGGCACGGTGGTGGGGTGGGCAGCTCTGCTCTCGGGAGTGAGGCAGGAGGGCGTTCAGCTGGGGGGAGCTGGTGGCCTCCGAGGAGCCTCCAGCTGCAGGGACGGAGTCAAAAAATCACAGAATCATTTCGGTTGGAAAAGACCTTTAAGATCATTGAGTCTAACCACATCCATTGAGCAACCAACCGGATCCAACCTTAAGTCCATCGAGTCACTGGGGCCATGTGAGGTGTTTCAAGTATTAAACAAAAGTCTCCAAACTTTTAATGCTGACCAAAACAAAGCCAACAGCTCCCTCTGACACCAGCAGGAAAAGCCAGTGATGAACTGTGCGAGCTAACTTGTCCCACATCTCTTCAGACCAGGCTGCAATTTCAAAAGACAACCTGGGGCAGCAAAAAAGCACACAAGAGACAGCCGGGTTTCCATAGGAAAAAACCCTTTTATTTAACAATATATCAGGTTCCATCATGGCTCCATGGAGTTCAGATGCCACAGAGCTGGTTACCGATGCCGATGATATGCTACTGGGCGGGAGAGCTGGGGAGAAGGCGAAAGGAATCAAAAAGAGGAACATGACACGAAGAAACAAAAGTCTGCGGCGCCGGGGAGTGCGGCCAACAGGACCCCAGCGCCCGGCACCGCCGGAGCCCCACCGGGAGCCGAGGACGATCAACCAGCGCGGGATTGTCAAGCCCTGCTCCGGGATGTGCCCCTGCAGCGGCCTGGGCACCGGCCACCCCCCCGAGGAGGTGCTGGCACAGAGGGTTCTCGCTCCCTCTGTGCCACGGCCGAAGCCCCGGTGTCCCCCCGCACCGCCAAGCTGCGCGGTGCCCAAACCGCTCCTGCTGCTCACCAGCGGCTGCTCCCGGCCCACGGCCGATGCCCCCATCCAACATGCCCTGCACCGGCCCCGGGACCGGCTGCATCCAGGCTCCGAGCCAAAATCCACCTCTTGGGCAGCGGAGGATGGACAAGGAAGATCTGGCAGCCCAGATGCTCCAGCGATGCGGGCAGCCGGGCACAGGGTCAGGGCAGCAGCCCCGCGGCTGGTTGATCGCATAACGCGGGGCTGCCCGGGAACACGGGGACTTTCCCCCCCCACCCCTGCTTCGGGACACGGGACCGTGGCGAGGGTGAGGATGCGGCGCCGTGGGATGTAGACGTGGTCACAGCTCTGAAATGTGGGAGCGCGCGGTGCGGGTGTGCTGGTGCGCGGTGCAGCCGGGACGGAGGGAGGACCAGCCCTGCCCCAGCACCCCCAAACCCCTCAGGGCAGCCCCCCCCACCACACACTCCGCCCATATAATGCAGATTCACAGGCAACTGCCCGGCTCCTGTGAGCAACTGGGATTACAGGGAGCTCCCACCTGCCCGTGGGGAAGTGCCAGGCATGCCAGTGACACTGGAGATGGCTTCGGTGGGCACGGCCACCCCCCCAAGGGCAGGGGCCCCTGGCACTGCCCTGCACAAAACGCGGGCGCTGCTAAAGAGGAGTGAATCACCCCCCACCTGGGCACCAAGCAGAGAACAGGCTACAGAGTGCTTGCTGTTGGCTAGTGGAAAATAGGGATAGTTGGGGAAAGGGATCTGCAACAGAAACAGCTCCACAGGTCTGGAAAAGCAGATTCAGGGTCTCAGGATGCTGCATTGAGTTACACATCCTGAGATTTGGGTTTTTTTTTTTGGTTGAGGATAAAAAAGGAGATAAATTCGATGCTCCTTCTGTTCACTTTGTGTTACCAAGCCTCTTGCCCAGGCCAGGGCTGAAAGCTCTGCCTGGTGGACCCAGGACAGCCAGAAACTTGCTGGGGATGAGCCAGGTCCGACCCTGCTGCGAGCACCAGGGCTTTGCCAGCGGCGAGGGGCACGACCGGCCCCACAGAGCTGGTGCTCCCGGCCTCGCTCTCTGCTTGGGGCCCAGCAGATCCTGCATTATATCGAGGGCCTGGGCCTCCCAGGGGGGAGCAACCCCTCCCTAGCCATTCTGCCCGGCAGCACCCGCACACCAGCACAGCCCTGCGGGGCAGCTCCGGGGCTGAGCGCAGTATGACAATGTTTTACACCCGTTCTTGTGGTTAAAATTTCTTTTCTTTTTTTTTTTTTTTTTTTTTTTTTTTAGTTCTCATTTGTTTTTCTAAGAAAAAGCAACCAGAAAATAATTCAGAGTTTATACAAAACATCTTTACATTATTTCTTCCAAAAAAGACTAGTATTTACACAAACAAAATGGAAAAGAAAAAAAAAAAAAAAAAAAAAAGAAAAAAAACCAACCAAACTTCAATGCTTTCAATGAAAAGAACCGAAGGGACACACTCTGTTTCAGGACCCAGCAGACCGAGGTGCTCAGCAAAAATCAAGAGTTCAGATTTCACCCTTTCTTCACATATTTACAAGGATTCTCAGCTGCCCCCAGCAATAGGAGTAGAGCTGAGCCACAGCCTGGCTGGGGGACGGCCACTGCGCCGTCGGGGAAGAGCCACTGTGGGAAGTCACCCAGTGCTGGCAGTTTGCTTTTGGTACGACCCATGTCCAGACTCTTTCCTTTCTCCTCCAAAACTGAACTAAAACTAAATCATCCCCCAACCGCCTCCTCCACGCCAGCCGCTGTGGGGAGAAACTCCCCGTCAGGAAAGCATCCTTCACCACCACCATCACCACTGCCCAACTGGGGCTCTGTCCACTTCGGGAACGGCAGGTCATGATTTTGCAGATGGAAGAGGGCACTGGTGAGGGAAAAGGGGATTTTCTTTAAGACACAATTTTCTGTGATTTGTGAGAGCAGACCCCATCCCCCAGGAGGGAATGGGGGGTCCCGGCCGGGGCGGCTCCCAGCCCTTCTGCAGCCCAGGGTGGGCAGCGCCGGCATGGATGCCGTGGAGGAAAGGGGGCTGAAAGGTGCTACACAGGGGGGCCAGGGGAGAGGGGAGACAGGCTGGGCAGGGGGGAGCACCCGCTGCAGCTCTTCTCTCCTGAGGGCAGTAGCCAGTTCAGGGCCCTGGAAGCCATCCTCACCTCGGGATGCTGAGGGTGGGAGGAGAGTTGGGGCAGCCTGCTCTGCTCCAGCCCAAACTCCTGCCTTCAACAATAAAAACACGAAACCACCAACGCGACACCCAGGGATGCTCCTGTCCAGCTCAGGACCGTAGGCAAACCCCCAGCGCAGCATCCCAGCCGCCGGGTTTCTCCATCCCCTGCTCCGCCCCTCCTGCCACCCCTCCTGCCGCCCCTGCCCACTCCTTGTCAAGGCACTTTTGCAGAGCAGCCCTCTCGCTCTTTGGGCACTTCTTAACATGGGTTTCAAGGCTCTGGGGACAGCAGGCGAGGACAAACCAGGCCAGGCAGCCCAGCGCCATTGCAAACCCACCGCCCGGCAGCGCGGCAAGCCGCCCCGGGGGAGCGGCACCACCTGCCCCACGCTTGCTCCCTGAGCAAAAGCAGCTACTTCTGAAAGGAAAAGAAAGTGAAGAAGGAGGGGGTGACCGCCAGCCCCCAGGCTGGGACAACCCGAGGACAGGCAGGTGGCAGGGCACCACTGTGGCCACTGCCAGCCCGGCTGTGCTTGCCAGCATCAGCTGTGGCGCTGGTGGGTCCTCTCAGGAAGAGGAAGCTGGGAACAAACCTGCCAGGAGAGCCCAAGGCTCAACCCCTTCCAGTTTTGGGCAGGAGATGGGCAAGGCAAGGGCAGAGTGAGCCTGGGCTGTGGGACACCCAGGAGGTGGCATGGCTAGGTGACACTCCTGCACCCGGAGCATGTCCGGGGCAGGGGCAGGCGCTGCTGGGGGCTGGTCCCCAAAGGCAGGTCCCACAGAGAGGCACTGGGATGTCCCGGTAAACCAGGTGGGTGGAAAAGCCTTCTGCTCAGCTCCCAGTTAAGCCAAGCCTGGTGCTAGAGCTGGCCTGAGGGATGCCTCTCGGGCGACTTCCAGCCCCGAGCACCAGCCTCCTCCTGGCACCCCCAGCTCCCCCCGGCACAGGCTGCAAGTCGGGAACATTTGTTTTCCAGTTTTCCTTTCCAAGGCCAGCCACCCGCAGCAGGGTGGGGGCCTGCAGCTACCCCCTGCCCTCCCGCTGCCCCCCACTTTGCTTCCAGCAGGCTCAGCCCCAGCCCGATGGAAGAAGGAAACCCTCAGCAAAGGCTTTTCTCTGCGGCTGGATACCCTCGGGGGGTCTGGGAGAGCTGCCCAGCCAAGGCTGCTGCTCTGCACGGGGCAGGAGAAGCACCCAGACTCTCGCGCACTGAATGCTTCAGACATGGTATAGATATATTTTTTTTTTTCTTTCTTTCTTTTTATAAAGAGACTAAAACAAGAGTCAACAGCTACGAACACAAAAGTTTAAAAGGGCAGCGGCGGGAGCAGCGGGGTCTGCCCCGCGGCCGGCAGGACGGCGTGCTGGAAGGAGGCGACGGCGTGTGCCCGAAGGCGGCGGGCCAGAGTCCCGCCCAGAATTCACAAAAATAAAAATGTTACAAAAAATTAAAATAATTATAATAATAATAATAGTAGTAGTAGTAAATCGGGTTTGCCAGCTTCCTCCCTGCACAGTTGTCTGCATCTTGGCACCTAGGCAAAGCATCCTCCTCCTCCCCCCGCGGCTGCTCGCTGCTCCTCGGACCGAGGCTCCTCGCCGCGGCCCCGGCGTCGGTCCAGGCTCTGGGACCCAAGTGGCGGCCGACGCGGCGCCAGGCGCACGGGCACTTCACGCAAGGACGTAGGGGTGACGCAGGGAAATCCCAAAATGAAAAGGGGAGGTGGAGTCTCCGGGTTTGCCGGCGGTGTCCGAGCGAGCACGGAAAGGCACGGCGCCCGCCCCCTGGCCGGCCGCAGTCTGGAGAAGAAGAGGAGGATGCTGAAGGCTCACCCTCGAGTCTCGGGATTACAAAAGCTGAGAACTACAAAACTAAATACAAAGGGGAGAATCAGCGCGCGAGCGTGCGAGCGAGCCATCCGCTCTCCAGCGCCGGACCCCGGCGCTCCCCGCGCCGTGCCGTGGGGTTCGTTTCGCTTCCTCCCTCCCGGCGCCAGACCGCCCGTGGGGAGACCCGGGGGGCAGCTGCCCCCCGCGCTCGGCGCTCCCGTGCTCCTGCATCGGCGGCTTGCCCAGGCTGCTCCTCACACCTTGTAGTAAATGTTGGCTGGGCTCTGGGGGGGCATCTCCTGGACAATGTAGACGGGGTGCCCGTAGTCCCCGCTCACCTTCTCGTAGTGCGGGCAGTAGTTGTTCTCTGTAGTCCGTAAGGGGATGATGATGTCGCTGGGCTCGGAGCCCGCGTTGCCACTGCATTTCGGGCTGGCCAAGGTGCTGAGGGACAAGGCTGCGGCTCGCTGCTGCGTGTGCTTCCGGTGCCGCTTGCGGATCTTGATCAGGAGGACGACGAGGAAGATGATGATGAGGATGAAGATGACGCAGCCGGCACCAATTGCCGCGAAGACAGCCACCTTGGAGCTCAAGAAGCCATCGCTGGGACCTTGGGTCTCCTGGCCATCCTGGTTGACGGAGCCTGCAGGGCAAGGGGAGAGAACGGGTTGTCAGACCCCAGCAGGCAGTTTGCGCCGGGGCTCTGTGCAGCTGGTTCTGCACCCCATCCACACACAGATCGCATCTGCGGGTTGGGTGGTCCATCGGGAGCCCCTCTCTGCCCCCCCCCCAAACTCAGCACAACAGCTTCCCCCCGTGCTGCCTGGGGAGGGAAGCAGCCCCTTCGCCTCCAAGGGCATGGCAGCATCTCCCCACCTTCCCACCCCAGTCAGACCCACACATCCCTTTCAGCCCAGCCTGCAGGTGCTGGGCAGGGCAGGCAGGAGCCCTGGGCATCCGCTGAGGAAGGACCATGAGCCCTCTCCCACCCCGCATCGCTGCTCCCCCTTTCCATCCCCCAGCTGATGGAGCAGAGTGCTGCCTGTGTCTGGGTGACGACCGGTCTGGACCCTGGGAGCCTTCGCTCTCCACAACAGACCTGGATGCTCTGGTGAAAAGTGGGCTCTGATACCTGGAGCCCTGTGATATCCAATTACTGAGCCCCTGCCTCCTCCTGACCCCCGGGCCGGGGCAGCCCCAGCGCCCCAAGGGGAGAGTGCTTGGCTGGCCGTACCGGGCGAGAAGAAAAGAACAACTCTTCCCTACTTCATCTGATTTCACTTTTCTCTCAGCAGGGTCAGGAACTCAGGAAACCACCTTCAAAGGGCTTTCACACTGGCTCAGCTCAAAAACCCGAGGACCTCACCTCCTCCAAGCCCTCTCAGATGTACTGTGAGGAACAGATGGGCAGCGAGGAGGAGGAGGGGAAGGAGGAGGAGGAGAGTGCTGAAACAGCACTTCCCTGCAAAGCTCCTGCCAGGACATACTGGAGCTGGGAAAACAAACCCGAGCTGCTCCGCACCGCAGCCTGGCTGTCTGCACCGTGCCCCGAGCGGTCCCTGGACAGAAGGCGCAGGGCTGGGGAGAGGAGATGCTGCGAGCAGCGGGGACGGCAGAGATGGGCACAACATATCCCCGGGACCCATGCAACAAGCCCGGCTCGGAGCTGCTCTGCCAGCAGCAGCTGCCTGGCAACCTCCAGCCCCCGCGGCAGGCAGAGCCCCCATCCCTCTCCCGGGGTGTCCCCGGCAAAACTCACCTGGCTTGCCAGGCTCCTCCACCGCGGGGACCTTGCTGCGTGGGCTCTGTGTGACGATTTTCACGGTGTTGTCGGACTCCTTGCTCGGCCGACTCGTTGTCAGCTGCTCTGGGATCACTGCGTTTGGATCTGGGGAGGAGAGGGAAGGGACAGATGAGAAATCTCGATTCAACCTGGATGGCAGGCAGCAGCTCACTCCCCTGCCTAAGGAACAACTGCCCCCAAAATCCCAGCCAGCCATGCCACAAGGGAGTCGCAGGAGCAATGGGGGATGCTGAGAGCAACAGGGCAAGGCTGAGCTGCTTCAGGGCTTGTAGGAAGCAGCTTCCCCACCCTAATTCACCCCCCCTTGCTTTCCTGTTTTCTGAGCTCCTGTGCGTGGGCTGGGGCAAGTTTCTTGCATGGGCAGTGGGAGGAACGGGAAGGGAAGGGAGCCTGCCAAGGCTGCAGCACTGCTTCTTCTGTTTATTGTAAATATTGGCCCCAAAGTAAAAACACAATAATGAAAAGCAGCCACCAGGAGCTGTGCATCCGAGTCTCCGAGTCAGGGGTTGAAACGAGCCCGGGGCATCGCTGGGGCTGGGAGGCACCTGGCAGCTCAGGACGGGAGGTACTGGGGAGCTCCCTCTGGGAGGGGAACACGCTCTGCCACAGCACCACCACTGTCAATACCCTTGGTGTCCCACTGCCACCGCCAGCCTGCGTTGTCCCCACACCGTGGTGGCCACCACTGCCGAGAGCTGGGACCAGGCTGAGCCCAAGCACGAACCCTGCCTTGGGTGCCCGGCAAGTCACGGGGGCACTGTCCGTGCCAACCCCCCCGCTGATGCACTTGCACAGTTCATGGGTCCCACACCGAGCTAGCTACCCACCGGGACACCAACCGCGAGCTAGCACAGAACAATTACTCCATTTTAATCCCAATGCACTAGACATGTGCGAGTGTTGGCAAAAGAAAAAAGAGAAAAAAAAAAAAAAAGATTCTAAAACTGAAATTCTGCTGAACTAACCCAGGAGGCCTCCTGGGCTCCAGGGAGCGACCAGCTGGCCTGGCCTCAGTTTCCCCAGAATCCAGACCCCCCCACACCATTGCAGGATAAGGGCCCTGGGGTTCAGGGGCCAACGTTTTGGAGGCAGGAGACCCCAGGGTGCAGAAGGACTCACCCTGCCCCACTTTCATGACAATCTTCATAGAGCGCGTCTGGCAGACCCCTCCTTCCCGGTTCTCCAGGCCATCCAGTGTCCCGTTGGAAGTGGCTGCAAGAAAAGAGAGGGAACGTTAAGAGGCAGGTTTCCTGGAGGTTGGAAGGGCACTGACAGGCAGGTCCCCACTGTCCCCAGGGCACCACGAGCAGCTCGGCACCTCCCAACACAGGGGCTCGCTCCCAACCCCCTGCTGTGGCCAGTTCTTCACACCCCAGTCCAGAGCCCGCTGCAAATGCTTAATACACCAAGTTCTCATTTTCTGTACCTTCCGAAGATGTTTGCAGTGGTGAGGATGTGATCCCTTCAGCTTCCCCTCACTGCCACATCCACACAAGCGAGCCATTCTCCGCGCCCGCACCCTCCTCCCCCTTTAATTCCTGGATAATTTCCTCTGCTCCTTGGTGTATCATAGGAACACATGCATATGCACAGTTTAAATTATACATATATAATTACACACTGTGCCTCAGTAAAGAATGTAAACTCAGAGCCCCAATGGGGTTGAGTGGCTTTAATTGCAGGGCAGAAGTCAGTTAAATTCACATTAACTTTTTGCTTTAGCCGGCACAGATTTTTAAGCCTTTTGATTCTGTGGGAGCACAGGGAGCCACATGTCTGCCACTGCCACCACGCAGAAACCCACCCACCCACTCACCCACCAGCCCTCTGCCACAGTGGGGATGGCTCGGGGCAGTGGAGGGACACGAGAGAAAAAGACAAAAAAACACCAAAGGATTACAGGATTAAGCACCTAAACGGCAGATTCTGCTAAGCATACTTGAAAAACTGGCTTCTGACCCCAAAAGGGCCCTCGTTGCCAGCAGCGAGCACCCAGCGGATGCTGTGCCGAGATGGGCGACGGGCTGGGTGACTCTGGCACACAGCTGGCTCTCCCCGGCAAGTGGGGATGGTTACCAAGCTGGCACTTCCATCCATCGTGGCAAACATAAATCATCCTGGTGCTCCACCAAATCCAGGCATTTATTCACCCTGGGAAGCAACAAAACCTGGGAGGAGCACGGCAACGGCGCACAGCCTGAGCGGGCCTTAGGAAAGGCGATGCAATGGAGAATCACAAAGCTACAGGGATAATTTTACAGAGACAAGGCAGTGACGCAAAGCAGGATTTGGCCAGCACAACGCAGCCAACACCTACCCTGAGCCTCAATGCCAAAACTCAGTCCCAGGGTTTCAGGTTGCCTGTGCAGACCGATTCCTGCCTCCACCCTGCAAAATCTCGGGTTTGGGGAGGGCGGGTGACTGATGGTCAGTGGGGACAAATCCATCAGCCCCCCACCGGCGAGGAGATGAAGGGAAGAGGCTGGGTTATGAAGCAAGGTCTTTCTTCTGCACTCCCCTTCCCGTAGCAGGACCCTTGGGTGCCTCAGTGAGGACTCGATGCTGGGCTACGCTGGAAAGCGAGCCTGGATCACGCCAGGATGCAGGCTCAAAGTCCATCAGCTCTGGACAAACGCCTCTGTGCAATCAAGGTTCTCGTGTGAAACATCAGAGAATGTTTTGCTAATCAAAACGTCACTGGGCCGTTTGCTGAGTTATCACCTCTCCTGCGGCGGGGTTTTGCCTGCCAGCAGCTCCCTGGATGGAGCCGTACATCCACGCATCTGGGATTCGCTGGCGGGCGTTTTGACAGGAGCACTGTCAGCACAAATCCCGATGCAAACGCCTGGGAAAGTGGAGAAACGCCTCCCTACAGCCTGCACAAGCTCTTCCCAACATGAACCGGAGTCAGGGGCCTGAGCAAAAACTCCTCATAAAAACATCTCAGGGAGCTAACTGCAGCAGGAGGCAGAGCAGCCCAGTTCTCCCATGCCGCAGGCACTGGTTTGGGGATGAAATAAGCCAATACGTCTCAGCTCGTGGCCCTGAAGCAGTTCCACAAACAGCTTCCCAGCACCATGCCATGGGTTGCTCCATCTCAAATAGACTTCTCACACATTCACACTGTGGGGGAAAACAGAGCAGTCTGTAAAAACCAGCCTCTGTGAGACCTCATAAGGTCTTATTTGTAAGGTAATAACCTGATTATATCAAAACAATCTGCAGAGTAAATATGGCTCAAGTGTGGGGAACTAGGAGATCCTGCAAAGGTAGAGCACGCAGCAGTAATGGGAGACAGCAGTTCATCCAAAATAATTATGGAGACATTGCATTTGGATACAACAAAAATATTAAAGGTCCAAAGAGGACAGAGGAATGGCAGCTGGAGTCACAGGGATGGATGAGGGGACACAGCTGAGCATCCTTCCTCCCACACCACACACAGGACTCCAAGAATCTCCTTGTTGTTCTGATCATAATAATGATGAGGGCAGAAAGTAGCTTCAAAAGGGAACCACATGAAAAAAATGAAGTAGCTACCTGAGGGAACATAAGAAGGGGCAGCTAAAAGGGTAAAACCATGGCGATGGTCTCCAGTACAGTCTCTTGAAACAAGGGCACAACATACTGCCACGTTCTGAATAGATCCAAAATGGGCCAAACCAAAGCAAAGCAAGATGCTCCACACAGCCGGTCGGGCTTTCAAAAGCCAAAATCCCATCCAAATGGCTAAAAGAGAGTACAACTTCTGGTGAGTTTTATATAAGCACGTAGGACAGACTGATGTGTTGCTGAGCAGTAGGTCCAGAGGAGGTTGGGGGACTGCAGCCGGGGGGTCCCCACTGACCCACGGGCAAGGGGCTGCGGCGGCACTGCAGGCTCCTCTGTCGTGCTTCACTGCAAAGCTCAGAGGTGGAGAGCTGATCCTCCTGCCCCGTTTCTTGCTCGCACGGTGGGAAGATTTACCAGCAGAAGGCCACAGGATCAGGCCAGCACCACTCCAGCAGAGACGGGCGGTCCAGAAGGCACCCAGCGAGCAGCGGGACAGAAGCCCAACGCGTCCGTGACACTCGCTGCCGCGCTCGTGGGAGAGCGGCAGAGGCACCGCCGATCCTCAGCCGCCGATGAAATTCAGCAGCAACAAATGCACGGTGAAGCAGGGGAGAAATGGTTAAATCCACAGGCACAACAGCAGGCTGCAGGGCGGTAGCACGAGGCAGAGCTGTAAAACGATGAATGAAGACAGGCAGGGAGCTGGGGATACCCAGGGGAGGAGGAAGCTGCAGGTCTCCAACGACAGCCGCAATCTCCACACGCCACGTTTGCCACGTGCAGCTCCGTCACATCAGCGAGGCTTGATCCAGCCAGTCCCAGCAACACAGACTGTACGGGAGGATTTCCTTGCCCCCCTTCCATTTTGGAGGGGCTTACAGTTTGGCTGTAGGACCAGGAAAGCAGAAGCAGCCTCTGGACAGATGACTTCTACTTGGGCTTAAAAAAAAAGGCAGCCCCCAGCCCGAAGAGCTATTAGATGCCTTTGCCTTAATGAACCATTAAGCCTCAGGCTGCTGAGCATGAGGATTTAACATTGATACCATTAACCATGTAATTGCTTGTCAATTTAGAAGAGATGCTCAGCCTGCATGGAAGCACAGGCAGGACCTCTGCTTGCTGGCATGACTTCCCCTGGTCCTCAGGCACAAGACCAGTGAAACACCAAGTCTCAGCCCTGTGACACACACCAGCCAACTGGGACAGGTGCCTCTGAGAGCCCCAACAACCCCCATGTTTCCACCTCCAGAAGCAATTGGTGCTGTGTGCTATCCCCAGTGCATCACACTGCCTTGCCACTGCTAGCACTCAGAGTGTCACTGTAGCTTTTCTTCCTTCCCTAAAAATATTTCAAACGGGAACTTGGGTTTTGGCAGATGGGAGACTCTGGAAGTAATACCTGGCAGCAGATAAAGGCAAGGGTCTCTTAAATGGTCAGCTTTGGACAGAGTGAGACGTTTGGTTTCTCTTCTGGATTCCCTCTAGCAGGACTCCGTTATGATTTGGGCCCCAAAGCACAATTAATGTGCTGAGGCTGTAGCGAATCCAAGTCTCTTTCCTTTTATTATTCTTAATTACTCTTCCATCTGTGCACCACAGCCCTGCTCCAGACCCAGCCAGGCGCTGCGTGAATGCAGCCCGGACGGCTGCCCCTCGCCCCCAGACCTGTCCAAGATTCACGTTTCCATCACGTGGCTGTAGATGGAGGCAGCAGCATCCCACCAGCACCCACCACCGGGGCTTCGGGGTGCCCCCACAGCCTGACCCCCATCCCACCGGAGCAGACGGGGCGGTGGGGAGGCACTGACCGACCCTGCTGAGGGGCAGCTGGTGCAGAACAGGGTCAGATCAGCCACCCCTCAGCCAGGACACTCACACCAGGCTGAAAGCCCCTCTCGGCACGCGTAGGGACCCTACAGGCAGCCCTGAAGATGTGCTTCACACACCGCCGGTGTGTTCAGACACTGTGCCAGCAGAGCCTTGCATGAATCTGCAAGCAGACTCTCTTTAAAACAAAAATCTAGCTCGTGCCACCTTCCCTCTCTTCTAAGACTTTCAAGTTGTTTTATGCACCCTCAGTACCGAGGTGGGGGTGTTGCACCAGTACAGGTGTTGCATCAGCAGAGGTGCTGTACCGGTACCCGGCCTCATCACAGGCACTGGGCTCCTTCCTCCCCCCGTCCTGGCCAGGGCTGACACCCCAGAGGACCCGCAGAGCCACCTCCAGGTCACTGAGCAGAGGCACCCGCCTGCCCCACTGCACACAAATGCCCGGGGCTGCCCAGAGAGCTTGGCTTGGTTGCAGCTCCTTCTCCTCCTCTCCAGCTGAGCTGGGAGGTGGCAGGGGCACGCAGCCCATGCTCACGGTATCACCATTATTATTAATATTATTATTATCTCCTTGCCGGGCCCCACTGAAGGGAGGTGAGCCCGCCGCCCCCTCCCCACACACACGTCACCCCCAAGCCCTTTCCATCAGCTCCGGCACATTCTCTGGGTCGGCTGCCAGAGCAAGGGCAGGGGCTGCACGGGGGGAGCTGAGCCCCACGCTGTCACGCTGCCAGCGAGGCCGGCAGCAGCCTTCCAGCCCAGAGGCAGCTGCACCGGGAAGGGGCCCTAAAGCCCCAGAAATGTGTGTGCAAGCCAGCCCAGCCCCGTCC